TACTAAAAAAGCCCCTCAACTACAACAAACCTGACAGCACTACACAGATGATAAAGGACCTCAGATGGAATACATTGGAACACAGACGCAAGATAACGGACATCATATTTATGCACAAGATTCTACACCACCACATAGCAGTACCAACCAACTACCATCCTACCTACTCCACCGTCACAACAACAAGGAACAGCCACCCCTACAAACTCTACACTCCGCATATGGCAACCAACGCATACAGACATTCTTTTATCCCCCGCACCATCACAACATGGAACCTCCTGCCACCCAGCGTCGCCAGCATCGAGGACCTGGACGCCTTCAAGGCGGCAGTCAGGGGAGAGGTGGAATAGACTTTTCCGATTGTATATAGTTTTAACCGCACAAAGGCTCCACACTGCACGGATGTACATAGTCACCCTTGACCTGATGACCATACATGGTTTTTGTCGAGTAAAACATTGAAGTTGAAGTTGAAACACAATTATTAGAAACCCTTGAGGACTGGACGGAAGCTTTAGACCACAACAATCAAATCGATACAATCTACCTAGATTTCAAAAAAGCCTTTGACAAGGTCCCACCTAAAAAGACTGATTGAAAAAGTGGAAGGGTACGGGATAAAGGGGGCACTACTAGAATGAATAGTGCTTTTATAAATGATATGAAACAGATCGAAGTTGTTGTAAACAGCCAGTACTCATCATCCAAATTGGTCACCAGTGGAGTTCCACAGGGGAGCGTGCTCGGACGAGTACTGTTTCTCATCTACGTAAACGATCTACCCGAGTCGCTCGATAATAAAATCAAAATGTTCGCCGACGACGCCAAACTCTACAAACCAACAAAAGCTAATGAGGATGGGTTGTCACTCCAAAACGACATCAACAAGGTATGTGGATGGACAGACAAGTGACTGATGGAACTAAATTCATACAATTGTAAACACCTAAAAATATATATAGGCCAAGAGAAGAACAACGTCAGATATGAGATCACCAAGCAAGGGGAGAGACATCGAATAGATCTAATGACAAGTGAAAGAGATCTCGATGTAGTTAAAACCTAAAATTTAGAGAGAAAGTGAACACTGCAGTATCTTAAGCTAATAGAAAAGTAGGTCTCATATTCAAAACTTTCAGTTGTATTAATAAAGAAATGTTTCTCAACCTTTACAAATCTTTGGTACGTCCATACCTTGAAATTAATGTCACTACGTGGTCACCTATACTGAAAAAGACCAAATCTCCTTAGAGAATGTTCAAAGAAGGGAAACCAAACTAGTTGTTCCATCCCTAAAAGATCTCTCTTACCCTGAGCGTATTCGTCGGCTAGGGCTACCATCACTTGAATACAGAAGACTAAGATCTGACATGGTAGAAATCTATAAGCTGATAAACACCATAGATATAACCAACCAACAAATCAACCCTGCCTTCGACAACCTCAATACGAGGGGAAACTCAAAAAAACTGAAAAAAATCGGTATAAAACCCGGCAAAGTTAGGGAACATGCTTTTAAAAATAGAATTGTAAATATTTGGAATCAACTCCCTACAATTGTGGTAGATTCCCCAACCTTAAATGTATTTTAAATCTAGACTCAATAAGCATTGGGTCAATCATCCAATCCAGTTTTTACCATCGTGCTACTTATATGTACCTAATATAAGTTGTATACGCGTCCTCTGCGCAACCTGTAAATATGTGAACAAACTAACTACATGTAGTTCTATGAAGAAGCGTCAACGAAGAAATGTACGTCAACCACCATGAACCATGAACCAGAGACGTATATACTACATGGCTTTATACGTCTCTGCAACCAGACCTATACCAACCAGACCTAAACTATTCCTTAAATATGTTGGATTTGAACTCTAGACTAAAACCAGAGACGTATAATGTTTTATACGTCTCTGCTAAAACCAAAGGGCTGGGGCTCGAAATGTGAGTAGATGGGAAATTAAATAATGAGATTTTTAATACTTGCAAATTCAGTAAGTTACATCTAAGTACATTGGTTCTGAATGAGTGTAGGTTGGTTTCTAAGTCCGTGGTCTAATGGAGTCTGGATCGAATAACATGCACATACTGAAGTCATGGGAAAGTTTTTGGCGGGATTACCCATGCGCATAGATCGTGCTAATCAAAGGAGGCCTAGATAATCTGAAATTATCTAATGAAAATGTACTTTTAGAAATTAAATGTTAATTGTTATGTTTCTATTTATTTCGGGAACATTGATTATATTTATAAAACAGTTGGCGTTTAAAAAATATTTTGTCATAATTTGAATGTAAACTGTAGGTAAACATCAGAGGACTTCCGAAAACCGGAAAAGAATCGTTCGGTGTAGTTAGCGCTCGCGTAGAAATAAACACATGTGTGTCGTAATAGACTGAAATGTTTACCACGACTGTTCTATGTAACTTTTCAATAGTAACCACTTGAAGACTGTAGACATTTCAAAGACAACATTGTCGACCATATCATCGAATGGTTCGGCAATATCATATGAAGTTACAGGTAAAAACAGATCAGTTGAAACGTTTTTTCAGTGTTTTTCACTGCGTGTTGGCAAACCTGGTCAGCTGTTGATTCGTAAAATCTGAGAATATGTATCTGCTGTGATTATTCACAAGATCTTATATTGTAATTGGTTGTGCATGTATACTTCCACTTTACCTTTCCAAATTTATAGTGCGGTTTTTACATATGATGAGTTATCGCACCAAAACAGTACACGACATGTATTAGATGTATAGTCCATATGGGAAGAAGATATGCATACAGGAACCTGCTAATTTGTTAAAGCTTTAGTTGGATATAAACTAAGGTGTTAAGCGTAATTTACATGGTTTAGGGGTTTAGATCGACTTTCGGTAAAAAAAAAATGACACCCGCAATGATCATATATAGAAGGGAGGAAAGCTCTCAGTGTCGAAATGTACATATTGACCCCACCAGGCAAAAATACCTGTCTGATTTATCTCAATGGGGAAAATAACGAGTGTTATAGGCCTGTTTCTCCAATCTGAATAAAAACACTGGGAACAAGCAGATGGGAGGAGTATAATACAAATAACTGTCACCAATATCTCCCAGACAGCTTGTGTAATTAAGCTTTATTCCTTGAGGCGATAATTTACTGGCACAGTCCCATCAGAAGATATTTTATAAATGGCTGCTAAATTTTAGTTCCCCGTCTTAATATACTAGATTGCTATATATGATACATAAGTGTGTCAGTATACATCATCAAGTGTTTGTTATTTGATGAAGTGAACTAGAAAAAAGCAAATCCATCAGATTGATATACATGTATATTCCTTATGTAACTAGTCTATAGTAGGAATTTTGGTATAAACCAGGCACATATAAGTATAATAAAGTATGAAAAATAATATTTGTTATGTAATTGTAAGATAACTGAAAGAAAGTATTGCAATTTTTCCTCAGATTAACTGAAGATGAGGACGACAACTCCAGAAAAACTGGTTCAACTCCAGAAGAATCCATCCAACATCCGCAACATTTGTATCTTGGCTCATGTTGATCATGGTAAAACAATTAAGTTGGGGATTTTGTGATAATTACTACCACAGTCATTGGAATATATTTTCATGCCTTGTCTTGTTTTGTGCAAAATCTTTTGTAAAATACTATAAAGGATATCAAAATAAATGCTATCAATATAAAAAAAAATCAAAATCTGTAATATGAAGCTTGTTTGAATATATATATTACCTGTTGTGACTTTCTTTGGTCACTATATGAATATACTCAAGTGCTGGGTACGGTAGGGTTAATATCTATATATTAACTTCAATTCTGGATACCTATGTAAAGTTACAAAATTGGCAGTTAAAAATATACTTTAAGTGAGCAGCGTCCGTTGTCCGTCAACTTTTTCCTTTAAAACGCTACTTGTCCTAAACAGCTCAGAGGATTTTGACCAAATTTGGTCTGGAGTATCATCGGCCAAAGGGTTCTCAGTTTTGTATTAACAGAGGGTATGGGGGTAAAGGGGTGGGGCCAAATAAGGGGAAAATAGGTAAATCTTCAAAAATCTTCTTTTCAACCAATAGAAGGATTTTGACCAAATTTGTTCTAGAACCTCTTTGGGTGGGGCCCAAAAGGGGAAATAGAGGAAAACATTTAAAGATCCTTCTCCTTTTGTACCAATGAAGGGGTTTTAACCAAAATTGTTCTGTACATGTAGTTTAAAAAGTAACATACCCAGTTTGGTAATTATATATCTAAATCTGATAACTTTTATTTCATATATACAGGTAAAACCACACTTGCTGATTCACTGGTGGCCAGCAATGGCATCATTTCCCAGAGGATGGCTGGTAAAGTAAGTAGCTATAGCAGGAATGTTAAGTTATCTCCCCTTAGGATCTGGTTTGCATTACATGTGATAAAAACTACACTTACATGACATTGACGGTAGAATGGTAGATATTTCCTTAATTGTTAGAGCTCAAGTAAAATTTAGAATTCTGTGCTTAAAAAAAAATGTTTTCAAATGAATAACCCGAAAATAGTGATATGAAACTTCAAAAGACATTTTTTTTTTCTATCACATAATTTTTTGATTTTGTAGCAAACTTAATGCATGAAATAATAAATCTTAACACAATAATTATATTTTTTATATACAATCTGATAAATGACAGTCAGATTGGCTAGGAATCAGTCGTCATTAATATGATTAATGCCAACATTACTATTAGGTACTTAAAGTTTTTTTCAACCATTTCATTTGTATTAGTTGCGGTACATGGACAGTAGAGAGGATGAACAGACTCGAGGCATCACCATGAAGTCTAGTGCCATCTCATTAGCTGTTCAGAGAGGTAACAACTATTACAATGTATAAAGTACTGAATAAGCTGATCACAGAAAATTCTGTTGTATGAGTTCCAAATTTGTCATGTATAATTGATTCTTTTCATTAATTCCAAACTGATCCACGGTTTTACGTCTGTCTGTAACATAGGGATTAAAACGACGTTCAATTCATATGTTTACATTTTTATTATAGTACAATCATTTAATTTGATTAATTTGTTCATACTTAAAATAATAAATTTTATCACTACGTTTTGTACATGCGTCATCCTTTTAACGACATTGGCAGAACAGCCCTATTTAAATCAAATTGGGGCCAATAATTAAACGTAGTCATTTGAGCGTTTGACACATGGGCATTCTCCATGTTATCTTAAGCGAATCGACAAGACTCTCATTGAACAAGGTTTATATATGACGTCATAATTTAAGCCACGTGTCACGTCACGAGAGTTTCTGCTTTCATACTCAAATGAAATTCATTTCTAATGGTAATGTTCATATAGTGGGTTGCAGTGCATATGTAAATATAAGTTGTTGGAAACTGTGCACGTTGTGTATTGGAAAGTAAAAAATAAATGCCACATTTCCACCCCTGAATCCAAAAGTTTTATGAATGATCTAGCGTAGAGAAATTTTCCATTTGAAAACTACTGAATTTAATGTAGATTTTCTGAACTTAATTGAAAAACCTAAATTAAAAAATATATTGTCGTCATATATCGAAACAGCTGATAGTTTGTGTAGTGTTTATGTCATGTGACCACAGAATTGCCATGCTTGCGAATATGCCCCTCCCGAATCCCTCAGTACACAAACTTTATAGTATAAAGTAATGTCTGGAACTAACAGTATGTAGGGGTCAAGTTCAAGAATGAATGAAGTGTTTCTGATAACTTTTCCTTCTTTAGATAGGTTTAGTACAGAAAAAAATCCAAACTATCTGGCTCCAGGTTAATGTTGCTGTTACGTATAACCAGTGGTATACATTTCTTTTATATAAATGTCTATTTAACAGATGCCCAGGAGTACCTTGTAAACTTAATAGACTCACCAGGCCATGTGGACTTCTCTAGTGAGGTGTCCACAGCTGTACGTCTGTGTGACGGAGCAGTAGTCGTGGTGGACGTAGTGGAGGGAGTCTGTCCTCAGGTCGGTTGATGTCTTCAAACTTGTTTAAACTCTCAACCTTTCAATATTGTTTTATACCTAATCTTATTGTTTGAAAGTTTCCTGCTTTCCTGCCTAAGATCATTGAATTGATGATAATTTTTAAAGTGACTGTCATCATTGTAAACTCTATGGATAAGGATGAAAGTGAATGATTATGTTATGTCAAAATGTCTCCCTAATTATGTATGTAACAAAGCAGTTAAATGTGATTTTGTTACGACAGACACATGCTGTACTTAGACAAGCCTGGCTGGAGAACATTAAACCAGTACTTGTATTAAACAAGCTCGACAGACTCATCATGGAACTCAAGATGGACCCTCTGGAAGCTTTCTTCCATCTACAGGTCCTACTAGAGCAGGTAATACTAACACTGTCCATCTACATGTCCTACTAGAGCAGGTAATGCTAACACTGTGTCCACCTACAGGTCATACTAGAGCAGTTGATACTAACACTGTGCCCACCTACAGGCCATACTAGAGCAGGTAATGCTAACACTGTGGGTAATACTAACACTGTCCATCTACAGGTCCTACTAGAGCAGGTAACACTAACACTGTGTCCATCTACAGGTCCTACTAGAACAGGTAATACTAACACTGTGTCCATCTACAGGTCCTACTAGAGCAGGTAATACTAACACTGTGTCCACCTACAGGTCCTACTAGAGCAGGTAATACTAACGCTGTGTCCACCTACAGGTCATACTAGAGCAGGTAATACTAACACTGTGTCCACCTACAGGTCATACTAGAGCAGTTGATGCTAACACTGTGTCCATCTACAGGTCCTACTAGAGCAGGTAATACTAACACTGTGTCCACCTACAGGTCCTACTAGAGCAGGTAATACTAACACTGTGTCCACCTACAGGTCCTACTAGAGCAGGTAATACTAACACTGTGTCCACCTACAGGTCCTACTAGAGCAGGTAATACTAACACTGTGTCCACCTACAGGTCCTACTAGAGCAGGTAATACTAACACTGTGTCCACCTACAGGTCCTACTAGAGCAGGTAATACTAACACTGTGTCCACCTACAGGTCCTACTAGAGCAGGTAATACTAACACTGTGTCCACCTACAGGTCCTACTAGAGCAGGTAATACTAACACTGTGTCCACCTACAGGTCCTACTAGAGCAGGTAATACTAACACTGTGTCCACCTACAGGTCCTACTAGAGCAGGTAATACTAACACTGTGTCCACCTACAGGTCCTACTAGAGCAGGTAATACTAACACTGTGTCCACCTACAGGTCCTACTAGAGCAGGTAATACTAACACTGTGTCCACCTACAGGTCCTACTAGAGCAGGTAATACTAACACTGTGTCCACCTACAGGTCCTACTAGAGCAGGTAATACTAACACTGTGTCCACCTACAGGTCCTACTAGAGCAGGTAATACTAACACTGTGTCCACCTACAGGTCCTACTAGAGCAGGTAATACTAACACTGTGTCCACCTACAGGTCCTACTAGAGCAGGTAATACTAACACTGTGTCCACCTACAGGTCCTACTAGAGCAGGTAATACTAACACTGTGTCCACCTACAGGTCCTACTAGAGCAGGTAATACTAACACTGTGTCCACCTACAGGTCCTACTAGAGCAGGTAATACTAACACTGTGTCCACCTACAGGTCCTACTAGAGCAGGTAATGCTAACACTGTCCATCTACAGGTCCTACTAGAGCAGGTAATGCTAACACTGTCCATCTACATGTCCTACTAGAGCAGGTAATACTAACACTGTGTCCATCTACAGGTCCTACTAGAGCAGGTAATGCTAACACTGTCCATCTACAGGTCATACTAGAGCAATTAGATGACCATAGCTGTTGATAGGACATTAAACAATACTAAACCAAACCAAACTAAACCTGACCAGTCACATTTTACTGTAGGGTATGTTGAGGAGTCTACCTATTTGTCACAATTGAAATTGAATGTCACAGAATGATGTTATTTACCCATGATATTCACATTATGTAAATTTTAAAGTTTTAAAACATTCATTGAACGCTATACATATGTAAACTTTTTGTGAAATTGATGCTTATGTTGTTTTTTGTTAAGGTAAACCTGGTGACCAATGAATTATTCACAACAGAGATCATGGCCAAAACGTCTAGTGTAAGTATTGACCACATTCCTACCCTATTCTTACCAAAAAAAGGATACAAAAAAAGTCTTGTTGAGGTATGATATATCTGACTTTAATGTTAAAAAAAATATGTCATAAACATAAATCCATTTGCTATATAATTTATTAAAAAAAGTAAAAAAAGATAATTCATAAAATGTTCAAGATGTTTTTTGTGATCTTTCCATACAGCAGACAGATGGGGCAGGCCAGGAGAAAGAGAAGTCCAAGGCAGTGGTGAGATTTACTAGCCTTCTACATCAGATCATATCACAGACTCATTGACGTTCACCTCTACAATAATGAAGTTCAACTCTACAATAATGTAGTTCATCTCTACAATAATGTAGTTCAACTCAACAATAATGAAGTTTACCTCTACAATAATGTAGTTCAACTCTACAATAATGTAGTTCACCTCTACAATAATGTAGTTCACCTCTATAATAATGTAGTTCAACTCAACAATAATGAAGTTCACCTCTACAATAATGTATTTCAACTCAACAATAATGAAGTTCACCTCTACAATAATGTAGTTCAACTCTACAGTGATGTAGTTCACATCTACAAATGTGTAGTTCACACCTACAGTGATGTAGTTCACACCTACAGTGATGTAGTTCACACCTACAGTGATTCACATCATGGTGATGTAGTTCACACCTACAGTGATTCACATCTACAGTGATGTAGTTCACACCTACAGTGGTGTAGTTCACATCTACAGTGATCATGATGTAGTTCACACCTACAGTGATGTAGTTCACACCTACAGTGATTCACATCTACTGTGGTGAAGTTTCTCTTGGTTTCAGGTTTTGTATTCATAGACTTTATATCTTGTTTCTACTCCTCATACATTTAAAAAATTGATTTATTTTCAGTCCAATGATTGGACAATTCAGGCGGATGATGAAGACGAGGAAAGGAACATCTTCTTCTCCCCGACCCAGGGCAATGTGGTATTTGCCAGTGCCTATGATGGCTGGGGATTCACGTAAGTTTGCGGTGTTTGTCAGTAAAGTTGATGACTAGGAATCACATTGTGTCAATGTGTTTGAGGACTGGTGATTCATACATATATTTGTAATGTTTACAGCATTCAATTATATCAGGGGATTGTTGTGACATTTAGTTTTTTGGACTGTTATTTGACCATAAATCTCAATCAATCAACATTTAAGAAACCCTGTACCACTTGCAAAAACTAATTAAGTATTGGAAACACTGCAGGGCTAGACCGAGATTCGTACCCTGAATTTCAGGCTTCTAAACTATCGCTCCAACAGATTGAGCTTCCTGGTCAACAGAAGCCTCTTGGCCCAATTGTTCTACAGGTATTTGGGACTGAGATCCTCAAGGACAGGAGCCATATGGTGAAAGACCAAAATAATAAGAAAATTTTCTTTGTCTTTATCTTTTTTTTTTCTCCAAATATTTTATTTCCCCAGTCATTTTTTTCATAAATATGTATATACATATACTGCTTCCAAGCATATATATGTGAACATATTTAATATTTTGATAGGGGATGCCAGGGTTGGGGAGTCCTTCATCTTTATTCCTGAGTTAATATAACAAAATTTATTAGTGTACCTTAAGATTTTTGATGGCATACCACCAATGTAACGTTGACCATTACTTTTAAATTAAAATCTTGCTGACCAGTGAGATCATGCTGGATATTTCAAAAGTATTTATGGAAGTCGTATTGTCTTGTTAAGATAGGAAGGAGAAACTTGTCAATGTTGTGCCAATTATTGTACCAGTAACACTCTAGTGTATTTCAAGGCAGATTTTTCAACAGACAATATGTTGTGTTTTTTCCAGGCTCAACCATTTTGCTGATATGTTTTCAAAGAAGTTGGGAATTAAGAAAGAAGTTCTACAGAAGACACTGTGGGGAGACTTCTATCTGAACAGTAAAACCAAGCGCATTATGAAAGGTGCTCAGTCCAAGGTCAAGAAGCCTCTGTTTGTACAGTTTATCCTGGAGAACATATGGGCAGTGTATGAGTCTGTCAGTGTTAACAGGTGAGTGGTCAGTCCAAGGTCAAGAACCTTTGTTGTACAGTTTATCCTGGAGAACATATGGGCAGTGTATGAGTCTCTCAGTGTTAACAGGTGAGTGGTCAGTCCAAGGTCAAGAAGCCTCTGTTTGTACAGTTTATCCTGGAGAACATATGGGCAGTGTATGAGTCTGTCAGTGTTAACAGGTGAGTGGTCAGTCCAAGGTCAAGAAGCCTTTGTTGTACAGTTTATCCTGGAGAACATATGGGCAGTGTATGAGTCTGTCAGTGTTAACAGGTGAGTGGTCAGTCCAAGGTCAAGAAGCCTCTGTTTGTACAGTTTATCCTGGAGAACATATGGGCAGTATATGAGTCTGTCGGTGTTAACAGGTGAGTGGTCAGTCCAAGTGTCCAATATCATTAGCTTAGTGAGGAGTGTATAACTCTACTAGACCAATGACAGGGCTTGTACGTTTTGTGTTAGAGGCAGTACATTTCTAATATTTGCTATGGAAATGGAGGTTGAACTAGTAGAATAATATTCAAAATTTGACTGGCCAAACACACAATGAAAACATGGACATCCCTGTTGATGCCACATAGAGGCATTAACTTATAAATGTCAGATTAGCTTGCTGCATGGTTGATAAAGTTCATATCTTCATCCTAGTTCAATTATATAACCACCTGTTTTATAGCTCTACTGACTATTTACCATAATATACCCACTTGTTTGGCAATTTATTTATTAGTAATCAATGATTAAGCCCTTTCAATTCCGTCTTTGCGTATTGCATAGTTATCTTACCTTGGGAGCAGGTATTGATTGTTATGTCATTGGTTTGTGTGAGAAAATTACGTTGTTTTCTCAAAAATTGATGACGTTACTCTCACAAACAAGTGACGTAACAATCAATACTCCCAAGAGAAGATAACTCTGCAATACGCAAAGACGGAATAGACCTGTACACAAGTTACATATTCTATTACCAAAGTTTTTTCCAAATTTAAAAAAAATCTTCTGAATTAATACAATGTTTGTATTTTGTAATGGCATTTCTAAAATTAATGTTGGAACTTAACATTTTTTAAAGTTGAATTATCTCCTTTATTATCTAGCCCAGGGGTAGGTTTGATAATTTATGGTTTCCATTGACAGGGATGCTGAAATGACTGAAAAGATCGTCAAATCACTAGGCCTGAAGATCTCTCCTCGAGACATGAGACATAATGATCCCAGAATGAAGCTGCAAGCCATCATGGGGCAATGGCTGAGCGTGTCCAGGGCTGTGTTAGGTAGGGATAAACTTACTGTACCATATACTCTCATAGGACAGTGGCTGAGTGTGTCCAGGGCTGTGTTAGGTAGGAATAAACTTACTGTACCATACTCTCATAGAACAGAGTCTGAGTGTGTCCAGGGCTGTGTTAGGTAGGAATAAACTTACTGTACCATACTCTCATGGGGCAATGGCTGAGTGTGTCCAGGGCAGTGTTAGGTAGGGATAAACTTACTGTACCATACTCTCATAGGACAGAGGCTGAATGTGTCCAGGGCTGTGTAAGGTAGGGATAAACTTACTGTACCATACTTTCATAGAACAGTGGCTTAGTGTGTCCAGGGCTGTGTTAGGTAGGGATAAACTTACTGTACCATACTCTCATAGAACAGTGGCTGAGTGTGTCCAGTGCTGTGTTAGGTAGGAATAAACTTACTGTACCATATACTCTCATAGGGCAGTGGCTGAGCGTGTCCAGGGCTGTGTTAGGTAGGGATAAACTTACTGTACCATATACTCTCATGGGGCAATGGCTGAGTGTGTCCAGGGCTGTGTTAAGTAGGGATAAACTTACTTACCATACTCACATAGGACAGTGACTGAGTGTGTCCAGGGCTGTGTTAGGTAGGGATAAACTTACTGTACCATATACTCTCATAGGGCAGTGGCTGAGTGTGTCCAGGGCTGTGTTAGATAGGGATAAACTTACTGTACCATACTCTCATAGGACAGAGGCTGAGTGTCCAGGGCAGTATTAGGTAGGGATAAACTTACTGTACCATATACTCTCATAGGGCAGTGGCTTATTGTGTCCAGGGCTGTGTTAGGTAGGGATAAACTTACTGTACCATACTCTCATAGAACAGTGGCTGAGTGTGTCCAGTGCTGTGTTAGGTAGGAATAAACTTACTGTACCATATACTCTCATAGGGCAGTGGCTGAGCGTGTCCAGGGCTGTGTTAGGTAGGGATAAACTTACTGTACCATATTTTCTCTCATAGGACAGTGGCTGAGCGTGTCAAGGGCAGTGTTAGGTACAGATTTGTTAAAAGTTAAATGCAATTTGAATATAGTCTACACTAGAACAACATTTAATTCAGACACACTTTTATTTTTTCTTAACTTTGAGATTAGATATATAGGGAAGGGAAATTGTCATTCTTTAATAAACTGATTTTGCCTTAAAAAGAAACTGAGCTTAAAATTACAATAGTTCTATTTTAATTGCCTCTGTTCATGATAACTTATTTGCCAGTGTTGTGTTGGCCAACGACTCTCTACATCTGTTTGAATCAACCCTGCACTGGAGATATATAGGGATAAATCACAACATATAGCTGATCCATTGTATAGCTAAAGAGATGAAATTGTTATATTTATCTCACAGATGTGGTAGTGGAAAAACTGCCATCACCGTTGGAGATATCTGAGGACCGTGTGGAAAAGTTGATGTGTTCCCAGTCCCAAAACTTTCTGTCCTTCCCCAAGGCCACACAGGAACTCAAGGATGGTAAGTTTTACAGAGACTTTCTGTCCTTCCCCAAAGCCACACAGGAACTCAAGGATGGTAAGTTTTACAGAAACTTTCTGTCCTTCCCCAAGGCCACACAGGAACTCAAGGATGGTAAGTTTTACAGAGACTTTCTGTCCTTCCACAAGGCCACACAGGAACTCAAGGATGGTAAGTTTTACAGAGACTTTCTGTCCTACCCCAAGGCCACACAGGAACTTAAAGATGGTAAGTTTTACAGAGACTTTCTGACCTACCACAAGGCCACACAGGAACTCAAGGATGGTACGTTTTACAGTGACTTTCTGTCCTACCCCAAGGCCACACAGGAACTCAAGGATGGTAAGTTTTACAGTGACTTTCTGTCCTACCCCAAGGCCACACAGGCACTCAAGGATGGTAAGTCTTACAGAGAGTTTCTGTCCTACCACAAGGACACACAGGAACTCAAGGGTGGTAAGTTTTACAGATACTTTCTGTCCTTCCACAAGGCCACACAGGCACTCAAGGATGGTAAGATTTACTGAGACTTTCTGTCCTTCCCCTAGGCCACACAGGAACTCAAGGATGTTAAGTTTTACAGAGGTCATGGAATTCAGATGTTTGACATTAGTACTGTTTATCTTTGTTAATTCAGACAATTGATCAAAGTTGTACCATACTCTCATAGGTCAGTGGTTAAGCTGTAGTTAAGATTTCTCTAAATTTAAGGAAAGTAATCAATCACTGTAAAGTTATGATGTCTCTTCTCTGGATGGAGGGCAACTCAAGGTCAAAGGTCAAATAAGTGAAAACTTTTTGGTAGCATCTAGTCTGGGCAATAACTTTTAAAATGTTAAAGACATCTTGATGAATCTTGAAGTATAGCTGCATCATCCACAGATGGTATGCAATGCTTTGTCATTAGGCCACCGTGAACTTGACCTCAAGAGCAAAGGTCAAGTAAGTGCAATCTTTTCAGTTTAACTTTCAAACTATTAGGGCACTATTCTGTGTCAAATACACACAATCGCTATAAAGGCAGACATATGTTTTTGTTAACTATACAAATGTCATGTTTTTTCCTATTGTTATCCTATCACTTATACACTAAAACGTTTATATATTACAGCCTTCATTTCCTGTAGTACAAGTGACAACAGTCCTGTGATCTTGTTTGTGTCCAAAATGTTCCCTGTGGAGAGGAAAATGTTACCGCAGTTCAAGCAGCGGTATGTATATTGCAGAGAGTAGTATTTATTTCTGCTATTACCGTAAAAACCCATGCAATTTGCGCACTTTTTTTCCAGAAATTTGATACCAAAAGTGGGGGGTGCGTAAAATACACAGGTATAGAAAATTTCAAGTTTTTTTCAGGAAAAGATCGACGATTCTGGGAGATCGCCATCTTGGATTATTTCCCTTGGTACACGGAACTCTAATTAAGACAAATGACGGTCAACAAATTTATTTATGTCAAACATTAAAAAAAGATACATAATATGTTGTTATGTGAGTTTATGTGAAAAATATTATTAAATAGGTAACCGTTAACAAAAAAAGGGACCCCAAATTCCTATGCCAGAGAATCGCCGATCAACTTACGACATTACGTTTCGACATCTCGGTGCGTTTCCCCATACTATTACGAAAATGTAGTTGTTCAATTTAAGCTCCGTTCCATGTAAGTCATATAAGGTTTTTTCAAATCTCCTATGCGTAAACGTATGCATGTTTTTTTCCTGCTCACTTTCATGTTGATCTCGCGTCTAACATTACGTAAACACGTGATTGATAATAACCTCGTGAATTATTTCAATAATTATTAAATGAAGCATCGTAAAAATAGTCTTCGTTAACTATTTTTTTCCTTGGAGTAGATTTGAAGAGGTTGTATTGATTGTCCACGCTTCTAGTATAAACATATGTTTTTATAATCCCTTATCAGTCAAACCAGTCTGTTATGACAATGCAGTAGGGCTTCGTAATTCATGCCATGTGTTGGTGAGTGAAAAAACAACAACACGGTCCGTCGATCGCGACTGCAAATCATTTCAATTAGTAGAGCTATTGTTAACGGGTAATCACTGAGATAGTGTTAGCTAATTACTGCATTGTAATTTGTAAAAAATATTGCCAAACCATTAACTTAGATAATCTAATTCCATGGCCAAACTGAACTGTGACATGACCTGGTTTGAAGTGACGTAACCCAAGCCGCCATGATGAGCCCTTCTCACTGATCGTAATTATGATCAATAAAAGGTATCTTATTATGTCTTTCACCAGGAGATATGCACCAGCGGTTACTAAACATCGAATTACTTATTAATTGATATGTTTTTGTAAGCAAGTAAATGTTTTATGTAAAATATTGCTAAAATGATTTGATGTATGCTGATATGCGCACACGTGTGTGTCATGTGTGTGATCAGATAATTTAAAGAAAACAAGCAATAAAATACACATTTTACGTAGTTTCTTCTTGGTTTTAAATACTATTTTACATCAATGAAAAAAAAAATCATAGAAATATATTTAATTTTTTTTTATTCAGGGATCGATTTTCGGAGCATGAAAATCGTTTTTTTCCCCCAGATTTTTTGGGTGCGCAAAATATTCGAGTAGAAGCTTTTTTCCCGATTTTCAGCCTCAAAAAGTACCTGCGTAAATTACACAGGTGCGCAAATTACATGGGTTTTTACGGTAATTCTTTTTGTTTGTTGTTACAAATATAAAATGAAAGGGAAACAACTTTTGAACAAAATGTTCAAATGATGAAAAAATAAAAATAAAACTGTATGTTGATATCAACACAGAGGAAGTGTGAATCTGATACACTTGACTATAATTGATACAAACTTGCATATGTATGTGAAATAGCCTGTTTTTCCAAAGTTCATTTCTGGCCACATAGCAGGGTTTTCCTCTGTAATTCAAACTGTAAATGATTAACTAAAGACCATCATAGAATACTTATCATTATTTTCTTTAGTATAATATGTTTTCATAATTTTGTTTGAACATATATTAAATCATATTCCCTCTTTTCTATTTTCTTAACTGTAGGCCATTAAGTGAGGCAGAGATACAGCAGAGACGGCAACAAGCACGACAACGCCATCTGGAGAAAATGTCTGGTCCTACAGATGTGGTCAATGAAAAAACGAAAGACGAAGAGGGTAAGTGTCCATACTGCTTAACACAAGCCACTGTGTACAAGAAAATAGCACAATGTTTACATGATAATAACCCAATGTATACATGATAATAACCCAATGTATACATGATAATAACCCAATGTATACATGATAATAACACAATGTATACATGATAATAACCCAATGTATACATGATAATAACCCAATGTATACATGATAATAACCCAATGTATACATGATAATAACCCAATGTATACATGATAATAACCCAATGTATACATGATAATAACCCAATGTATACATGATAATAACCCAATGTATACATGATAATAACCCAATGTATACATGATAATAACCCAATGTATACATGATAATAACCCAATGTATACATGATAATAACCCAATGTATACATGATAATAACCCAATGTATACATGATAATAACCCAATGTATACATGATAATAACCCAATGTATACATGATAATAACCCAATGTATACATGATAATAACCCAATGTATACATGATAATAACCCAATGTATACATGATAATAACCCAATGTATACATGATAATAACCCAATGTATACATGATAATAACCCAATGTATACATGATAATAACCCAATGTATACATGATAATAACCCAATCTATACATGATAATAACCCAATGTATACATGATAATAACCCAATCTATACATGATAATAACCCAATCTATGCAAGATAATAACCCAATATATACATGATAATAACCCAATCTATACATGATAATAACCCAATCTATACACGATAATAAACCAATCTATACATGTTAATAGCCCAATGTATACATGCTAATAACCCAATATATACATGACAATAGCCCAATGTATACATGCTAATAACCCAATCTTTACATGATAATAACCCAATCTATACACGATAATAACCCAATCTATACACGATAATAACCTAATCTATACATGAAAAAAGCACAATGTATACATGCTTATAAACCAATCTATACATAAAATAGCACAATGTATACATGCTTATAAACCAATCTATACATACAATAGCACAATGTATACATGGTAATAAACTACTGTACATGACAACCAATTGTACACACAATATTACAATAATCAAAGATGTAGTATACTGTGGCTTTGTTATATTAGTGACAACCAGTCAAGGTTCAACTGTCACCAGTAATGGAACTGCCTCAGCTGTCAATGGTGGGGGAGCCCCCTCAGTGGAGGCGAATGGCATCGCCATGGAAATTAAAGCTACCAAAAAGGAAGCCGAAGAGGAGGCACCCACAGTGTTCGTGGCATTTGCTCGAATTTACAGTGGCACAGTGAAAAAGGGCCAGAAACTTTACGTGCTAGGTCCTAAACATGACCCCTCACAGGTAGGTCAGATAAAAAGTAAATTATCTACAGCACATGTCTTTATATCAAGAATCAGTTTTGTTATATACCAAGGAATCATACTTTGGACATTAAGAATGAAACTGTTGCACAGAAAAAAAGTATTTCTGATATCTTTTGACATCAAGAATTCATTTCGCATTATACCTTTCTGTCAATATAACTACTGATTCTGCTTTTGTAATACTCAGACATCTGTATGTAGCCTGGGTGACTAGCTGATGGAACCCTGTAAACCTATGTTGTTGTTGTTAACACAGGTGGAGGAAGGGGCTGTACGTGTAGGCCAATCTGTGGACGACCTCGGCACTCACGACCACATCACAGCCTTCACTGTGTCTGACCTCTTCCTGTTCATGGGACGGGAACTGGAGCACATGGATGACATCCCTGCTGGAAACATACTGGGTCTGTCACTGAAACTTTAATTATACTGGGTCTGTCACTGAAACTTTAATTATACTCGGTCTGTCACTGAAACTTTATTTATACTGGGTCTGTCACTGAAACTTTAAATATACTGGGTCTGTCACTGAAACTTTAATTATACTGGGTCTGTCCCTGAAACTTCAATTATACTGGGTCTGTCACTGAAACTTTAATTATACTGAGTCTGTCACTGAAACTTACATTATACTGGGTCTGTCACTGAAACTTTAATTATACTGGGTCTGTCTCTGAAACTTCAATTATACTGGGTCTGTCACTGAAACTTTAATTATGCTGGGTCTGTCCCTGAAACTTAAATTGTACTGAGTCTGTCACTGAAACTTAAATTATACTGAGTCTGTCACTGAAACTTCAATTATACTGGGTCTGTCACTGAAACTTAAATTGTACTGAGTCTGTCACTGAAACTTAAATTATACTGGGTCTGTCACTGAAACTTTAATTATACCGGGTCTGTCACTGAAACTTTACTTATACTGGGTCTGTCACTGAAACTTTAATTATACTGGGTCTGTCACTAAAACTTAAATTGTACTGAGTCTGTCACTGAAACTTAAATTATACTGAGTCTGTCACTGAAACTTTCATTATACTGAGTCTGTCACAGAACTATTATATAATGTTATTTATATTGGGTCTTAAAATCAAAATACTGAACTATAGAAAATAATAGAATCAGATCATGCAAGTGGTGAATGGTATGCATGACTGTTATCTCACTGTTATGTTGAAATGCTTGAAAATAAAATCACATTGAAAACAGTGTTTTGAACATTCAATGCTACAAGTATTTGAAATAGTTCACTATGAACACTCTTCAGTGTGTTAAACTGTGTATACGGCAGCACAGTATTTTTGAAATTTCCAGTCTTATACAATCTGAACAAAGTTAATGCAATAATTTTGTCAAACATCTAACATAGACATTCTTCCCCGTGAACAGGTATAGGTGGACTGGAGGACCACATACTAAAGTCCGGGACCGTGTCCAGTACCGTCATGTGTCCGGCCTTCACTGACTTCTACCTTGATGCCTCACCAATCGTCAGGGTGGCACTAGAACCTAAACATGCAGGTAACATTGACTCGTGGACATAATCAAGATATAAAAGAGTTACAAATGTGTAGTTGGATTTAAAGCCATTACATGATTAACATGTGTGGTAATATTTGATCTAAACTGATAGAAGCATCAACATGTGTGGTAATATTGATCTGAACTGATAGAAGCATTAACATGTGGGGTAATATTTGATCTGAACTGATAGAAGCATCCACATGTGTGGTAATATTTGATCTGAACTTGTAGAAGCATCAACATGTGTGGTAATATTTCATCTAAACTGATCGAATCATCAACATGTGTGGTAATATTTCATCTAAACTGATCGAATCATCAACATGTGTGGTAATATTTGATCTAAACTGTTAGAAGCATCAAAATGTGTGGTAATATTGATCTGAACTGATAGAAGCATCCACATGTGTGGTAATATTTGATCTAAACTGATAGAAGCATCAACATGTGTGGTAATATTTGATCTAAACTGATATAAGCATCAAAATGTGAATTTCTTGCTCATTCATTGACTCATAAATCATATAATAAGAAATTGTTCAAATTATACACATCTGGCCCAATTCTGCCGTAAATTGGAAATGCTGTTAAAGTGGATATTTTCATGTTTCAAAATTAGCACCAAAAATAACAATGTTTTTTTTATAGATTATATAGATAAATAGAAAATATAGTATAATCTTATTGTATACTTACATCCTTTTTGGTAATCCTTTTGTGAGAGTTTAGGAGTAGGTGTAATGTTCTAGTATGTGCTACCAAAGAACAGTTATTCTGCTCACCACTTAATTGAGGCCATGCGAAAAATGACACAGGAACAGTGTTCTTGACATATTACACCATCCCTAAAATGTTCATGCAAGATCAGCCTTTATGTTTCTTGGCATTTTTTCCCTTTCAGTATTTTTTCTGTATCACTATTTCTGTCTTCTCTCGTTATACTCATTTAACAAGCTAATGACCTTTATGTGACCTTCCTAATTGTAACTGTCATTACAGGTGACATGGTACACCTGGTGCGGGGCCTGAAGCTGCTGAACCAGGCCGACCCTTGTGTTCAGGTGTTGGTGCAGGAGACAGGTGAACATGTCATCATCACAGCAGGCGAGGTTCACCTACAGAGGTGTCTTGATGACCTAAGAGAGAGGTAGGTCGTCACAGCAGGCGAGGTTCACCTACAGAGGTGTCTTGATGACCTCGAGAGAGAGGTAGGTCATCACAGCAGGCAAGGTTCACCTACAGAGGTGTCTTGATGACCTCAGAGAGAGGTAGGTCATCACAGCAGGCGAGGTTCACCTGCAGAGGTGTCTTGATGACCTAAGAGAGAGGTAAGTCGTCACAGCAGGCGAGGTTCACCTACAGAGGTGTCTTGATGACCTCGAGAGAGAGGTAGGTCATCACAGCAGGCAGGGTTCACCTACAGAGGTGTCTTGATGACCTCAGAGAGAGGTGGGTCATCACAGCAGGCGAGGTTCACCTACAGAGGTGTCTTGATGACCTCGGAGAGAGGTAAGTCGTCACAGCAGGCGAGGTTCACCTACAGAGGTGTCTTGATGATCTCAGAGAGAGGCAAGTCGTCACAGCAGGTGAGGTTCACCTACAGAGGTGTCTTGATGACCTCAGAGAGAGGTGAGTCGTCACATCAGGCGAGGTTCACCTACAGAGATGTCTTGATGACCTCAGAGAGAGGTGAGTCATCACAGCAGGCTAGGTTCACCTACAGAGATGTCTTGATGACCTCAGAGAGAGGTGAGTCATCACAGCAGGCTAGGTTCACCTACAGAGATGTCTTGATGACCTCAGAGAGAGGCAAGTCGTCACAGCAGGCGAGGTTCCCCTACAGAGGTGTCTTGATGCCCTCAGAGAGAGGTAGGTCATCACAGCAGGCGAGGTTCACCTACAGAGATGTCTTGATGACCTCAGAGAGAGGTGAGTCGTCACAGCAGGCGAGGTTCACCTACAGAGAAGTCTTGATGACCTCAGAGAGAGGTGAGTCATCACAGCAGGCGAGGTTCACCTACAGAGATGTCTTGATGACCTCAGAGAGAGGCAAGTCGTCACAGCAGGCGAGGTTCACCTACAGAGGTGTCTTGATGCCCTCAGAGAGAGGTAAGTCATCACAGCAGGCGTGGTTCACCTACAGAGGTGTCTTGATGACCTCAGAGAGAGGTGAGTTATCACAGCAGGCAAGGTTCACCTACAGAGGTGTCTTGATGACCTCAGAGAGAGGTAAGTCATCACAGCAGGCGAGGTTCACCTACAGAGGTGTCTTGATGATCTCAGAGAGAGGCAAGTCGTCACAGCAGGTGAGGTTCACCTACAGAGGTGTCTTGATGACCTCAGAGAGAGGTAAGTCATCACAGCAGGCGAGGTTTACCTACAGAGGTGTCTTGATGACATCAGAGAGAGGTGAGAATTGAACTTTTCTTTTATTCCCTAGGCTCTTTCATATTACCTATATGTCAGTAAAACTAGATTTTCTGAGTTGAAAACAAAACAGTTTTGATAATTTATTTTACATCGCAATACATACACATTTTTGTTGACAATGAAAATCAATGAATGGAACAAAAACCTTTCAGCTTTTTTGGAGAGAAAAAATCCAGCAGTTTAATAAATAAAAAAAGAAAATCTGAATTTTTTGAAAGAAATGTGTTTAAAGGTGTAAAAATATGCAGGATTTTTCAACATTTCGTTTAACCATATTGTATCGAAAGTTTTCTCATCGGTTACTAAAGTGTATTTCTTCAATTTTGTAAAGAAACAAGTCAGAACATATAGAAAGTGAAAGTATATAAAGTTAAAGTGCTAAATGTCACAAGAAGGCAAACTGTGACATTCTATAAATGCCAGTGTTACATGTCTGTTTTGGATACTGTGACGCTAACTTTGTGAAGTCACATCATACAGCTGTGTGCGATTAAAACTAATCATACAAAAATGTCAGCAGACAAACAAATTTGCCAAGAGTACATGGATCCCTCTTGATAAATTTATGTTTATCTTTTTAATGTGGTTACCCATCTCATTTTTGGAAAACTGTGTGAATTCATATGGGATAATTAACAATACATGTCTTCCTGAAATTAACCTATGCATCAAAGGTAATTGGTTCTTAATTGGAAAAAGGTTCTTAGATTAAACAACACTACAGTTCATTTGTTTAAGAAAATGTAAGTCTTTTAGTATGAAATGTTTTTTTTTTTATTCTTTTAGGTATGCTAAAATTGGACTGCACGCATCTTCACCAATTGTGCCTTTCCGAGAAACGATAATAAATCCCCCAAAAGTGGATATGGTAAATGAAGCCGTTCAGGATCAGCCAATCAAAACAGCCAGGGCAAAGGAGTTTGAGGATGACGAGGAAGTGATAGAGACAGGATTGGTGGAGATGTACACGACCAATCAGAAATGCTGTATCAGAATCAGGGCTGTATCGCTACCTGATGCTGTAACAGACTTACTGGAGCAAAATGTGAATCTCCTCAAAACCCTTCACGGCTTAAACAGAGCAAAAGTATATGGCCAGAATAGTAAGGTCAAGGACACAGGTGTAAAGGACAAAGGGGTCAAGGACACAGTGTTAGAGGCTCTCAGCCATTTTAAGTCCAGTCTTAGTAAAGCTTTCACAGAGGAAGGGAAGACATGGACAGACGTTATTGATAACATCTGGGCATTTGGACCCAAAAGGGTTGGCCCCAATGTGCTGCTTAATCGGGTGGAGGGATACGACAGACCCTCTGTGTGGGATATTCAGGGCTCTGAGGGACTCCTTAGGGACTTTGACAGCAATATAGTCAGTGGTTTCCAACTGGCAACCATTGCAGGTCCACTGTGTGAAGAGCCCCTTCGTGGTGTATGTTTCGTGATAGAGAAATGGGAATACCTTGACATGTCTTATGCTAAGCTCGCTAGGATCAGTGAATCGGAAAGTGATCCAAAATTAACCGATCTTTTAAGTAGCTCAGTAGAAAAAAACTTGATCATAGAGGAGGTAGATGAAAAGTGTAATGATAGTGACAAGGAAGAGGATAGTTGTGAGGAGGTAAAGGATGTGATTAAGCCACAGAGGAAGAGAGAGTATGGTCCATTTTCAGGCCAGATCATCTCGTGTGTGATAGCAGGGTGTAGGAAAGCTTTCCAGACTCAGCCCCAACGACTTATGGTAGCCATGTACAAGTGTAACATCCAGGCCAACTCGGATGTACTGGGTTAGTAGACACATATTCGCATGTGTCACGCTTGTATACAAGTATATAAATAGAGGATCTTACATGAGAATCTATTTGAATATCACTTAATCACATAACATTCATAATTTGGAGAAAAAAACTTCAAACGTCATTATGTGTTGCATGTATCAGCTGACTCTATATTGGTCAAAACAAAAGTACTGCGATCATAGTATAGTCGTTCTGCGCATTGCAAAAGTAGTTCCACATATTTTTTTTTAATAATGAATAGTTTTAAATGTAATGAAAATAATAATGACAAATTAATCATTTAAAATAACAGTACATGTATCATGTGGAATAGTAAATAAAAGTAGTACCTGTAGTGGCGTAGGAATATGATCCAACAGTTTGGACCAATTGCAGCACATTTAGGTTTGATTACATGTGTGTAATACAAATGACGATTGGTAAGTTACATATGTATGTGATAAACCTGAATCTCACATACACCTTTGGACACCTCTACACAGATGGTCATTGCTTGTGTTAAGATGCAATGTTGCTCGTTGTTTGAGATTTACATTATGTTCATGTAATAACGATACACAGTGAATTTTGAATTCAAATAAAAATTGAAGATTGAAATGTCATATAACAATTTACATTAACTCATTCATCCCTGAAGACACATTTGAACTCTTTCAATTCAAAGCTTGGAATGGTTTATTGTGAAATTTGAGGGGTGAATGAGATAATGTATGGAAGTTTGATGCTTTTCTATATTTCCTGTTCAGAGGAATTTTATGTTGATTATTAGGACACTGATTTCTATAAAAGTTGTCAACAAAACTTTTTTTCTTAGTTGAAGAATTACTTTCCAATAATTGTTGCATTAGTACCTATTTATTAATTGTTTGGTGCCTTGTGAATGGACTGGCTTGTATCCTTGTAAGCTGTGTATAGTGTTAGGACCATACTAACTATTGTCCTCGGGAAGCTGTGTGTAGTGTTAGGATCATACTAACTGTTGTCCTCGGGAAGCTTTGTATAGTGTTAGGATCATACTAACTATTGTCCTCGGGAAGCTGTGTGTATAGTGTTAGGATCATACTAACTATTGTCTTCGGGAAGCTTTGTATAGTGTTAGGATCATACTAACTATTATCCTCGGGAAGCTGTGTATAGTGTTAGGACCATACTAACTATTGTCCTCGGGAAGCTGTGTGTAGTGTTAGGATCATACTAACTATTGTCCTCGAGAAGCTGTGTATAGTGTTAGGATCATACTAACTATTATCCTCGGGAAGCTGTGTATAGTGTTAGGACCATACTAACTATTGTCCTCGGGAAGCTGTGTGTAGTGGTAGGATCATACTAACTATTGTCCTCGGGAAGCTGTATATAGTGTTAGGATCATACTAACTATTGTCCTCTGGAAGCTGTGTATAGTGTTAGGATCATACTAACTGTTGTCCTCGGGAAGCTGTGTGTAGTGTTAGGATCATACTAACTATTGTCCTCGGGAAGCTGTATATAGTGTTAGGATCATACTAACTATTGTCCTCAGGAAGCTGTGTATAGTGTTAGGATCATACTAACTATTATTCTCGGGAAGCAGTGTATAGTGTTAGGATCATACTAACTATTGTCCTCGGGAACCTGTATATAGTATTAGGATCATACTAACTATTGTCCTCGGGAAGCTGTATATAGCGTTAGGATCATACTAACTATTGTCCTCGGGAAGCTGTATATAGTGTTAGGATCATACTAACTAGTATCCAAAGTGAGCTGTTTGGGACTTAAATACTAACTGCTGTCCTCGGGAAGCTGAATGCAGTGTTAGCAATATTATACTACTTTATTCTACAGGTATGATGTATATTAATGTAAGGAATAAATATACTCTTCAATGTCATAATTTCGTTTTTGAGGAAAAATGTATACATGTATATAGTGTTCAGGATGGATGTACTTACTTTACTTCATTGCTTGGTTCCCTAGGTAAGCTGTATGGAGTTCTAGGAAAGAGGAACGGCAGTATACTGGAGGGAGACATGACGGAAGGGTCCCAGACCTTCAATGTTGTGGCCACCCTCCCGGTGGTAGAGAGCTTCGGTTTTGCAGAGAATATCAGGAAGAAGACAAGTGGACTAGCTAGTCCTCAGCTGGTGTTTAGTCACTGGCAGGTCAGTACACATGTCTTAATTCATAACTAAATCCTCTCACCTCCCAGACATCCACACAGGTTCAGTAAGAAACGTGTATTAAATGAGTTTCTATTTCAAAAGGGATTTGTGGGACAAGTTAAGAACATCTGTTTGAATTTCCCAAATCTCCATGAAAACAAACAAATTCAGCATCCTTTTTATCACATTAAAGCATCATTTCTCTGACCATAGTTTCCCCATTTTATCACTTCATGTCTGTTATCTTCACTTGGATGTCACAGCCGGTTAAACATATGACCGACTTATACATTGCATTAGTTCCAGATGAGTATTCAGAGTTGTGGCACAGGCACCTTGGTTGTGATTCAAATGATTATCTGGTACCCCTAAACATATGAAGTTTTTTTTATTTAAAATACAATCACAAGTTAATAGAAGTGATCCATTTGTTATGTCTGGTTTTTTTTCTGTTATAAAGATTTGCCTAAAAAAATGTGAGTGACCTCCCCTACATCATTCTTTGTCAATTCCGTACAAGAAGGATTTTCTTTCAGAAAATATGTAAATGTTAACCTGAGTTTGCTGATTCGTCTGTTGTTTAAAGAAGTATGTGTAAAAGAAATGTTAACCCATAATCACACAGAAAAGTTGACAAAAAATTATTGGTCTGGAGAGTTGATTTTTTTTTTAACTTTTAGAAAAGGTAATACAATGTTGAAAGTTTATGACAGTATCATGTAGAATTGTGATATAATGTTCAAAATTTGCATATTTTTTTTATTCAAAATGTGTTTGGAAGAAACAACATTTCTTATATTTACCTTTTTAGTGGTTGAGGATCATCAAGACGAAGGTGCCTGTGAGGATCATAATGTTACCGTATGAGTTAACATTTGTCTCTATTTTACAAGAGTTTACACTGCTTTCTTTCATCTATCAGTTGCTCCTGAGAAGTGGTGTTCCTGGAATACATTTAATAAATACAATATTATGATTGTAGGTCCTTGATGTTGATCCATTCTGGGTACCGACCACAGAGGAAGAATATCTCCATTTCGGGGAGAAGGCAGACTCTGACAACAAGGCCCGCCAGTATGTCAATGCGGTGAGGAAACGTAAGGGGCTCAAAGTGGACGAGAAGATTGTAGAACATGCAGAGAAACAGCGTACACTTACCAGGAATAAATAACAGAATTCCTAGATATGTTACATGCCTGAGATCATGTTTGTGGATCTGCACAAAGAATATCATCTTGTTAAACTAGGACCAATCCTTGAAACGAATTTCTACAGATAGTTTATTGCATTATTTATTGAGAACTTGATTTTATACAAAAGTGCACATCCTAGTTTTTACATCTTTTTTCTCATGATTAATATTTGTGAATGTTATTTTTTTCAAACTGAGAGAAATGTAATGCTCTTGTTGAATTGTTATGGAATAAATTATTTGAGAATTTTATAGAACATTGCTTGTGTTTTTAGCTCACCTGGCCCAAAGGGCCATGTGAGCTTATGCCGTACTGCGGCCTCCGTTGTCCGTCTGTCGTCGGTAGTCCGTTCATCAACTTTTTCTTTTGAACGACTTCTTCTGAAGAACTGGAGGACCTAGGTTCATGATATTTGGTCAGTAGGTACCTGGGATGGAGTGCTATAAACGTTCCTCATTAAAATGACCTTGACCGTCTTTCAAGGTCACTGGGGTCAAATATGTTAAAAATTTCAAACAAAAATATCCTAAGAACCATTTGGACTACAGTCATAATACTTGGGTATGTTTTGTAGACCAGCAGTGCGAATATTTTTCTTAATTACAGTAATGAGGTCAAAGGTCAACTTTAAGTGCTAGTCAAGGGTCAACATGGGTTAAAAACTTTGTTCAATCTTCTCCTCAAGTTCCATAAGGCCCAGGGCCATGTTATTTGGCCAGTATGTACTTGGGATGGAGTGCTATAAAGTTTTCTCATTAAAATAATCTACACCTATTTTCAAGGTCACTGGGATCAAATATGTTAAACACTTCAAACAACAATATCCTTAAAACCATTGGGACTAGAGTCGTGATACTTGAGTATGTTATGTAGACCAGCTGTGTTAATTGTGTTCTTCATTACAGTAATGAGGTTAAAGGTCAACTTTAAGTGCAAGTCGGGAGTCAAAATTCAAATTTCAAACAAAATTACCTTCAGAACCATTTAAGAGATGTTAAAATGTCTTGTGTTCTAGTTACCAAATTTGGTCTTAAGTTACCTATATGTCAGTTTCATGTAACAAAAGAAACAGGAGTGCGATACAGGCCCTCTGGGCCTCTTGTTTATCAATGAGTACAGCTCTCCCAGAATTCCCAGATGTATTGCTTTTTAGTTCACCTGCCCGAAGGGCTACAAAGTTTGTTCAAATGAAAGACCTTGACCCACTTTCAAGGTTACAGGGATCAAATGTGTAAAATCTTCAAACAAATTCTTCTCAATAACCAAAAGGCCCAGGGTACTGATATTGGGCCTGTTGCATACTGGGATGAAGGGCTACAAAGTTTGTTCAAATGAATGACCTTGACCCACTTTCAAGGTCACATGGATCAAATGTGTTAAATCTTCAAACAAATTCTTCTCAATAACCAAAAGGCCCAGGGTACTGATATTGGGCCTGTTGCATACTGAGATGAAGGGCTACCAAGTTTGTTCAAATGAAAGACCTTGACCCACTTTCAATGTCACAGGGGTCAAATGTCCTAAAATCATCAAACAACTTCTCAATAACCAAAATACCCAGTGTACTGATATTGGGCCTTTAGCATGATGGGCTACCAAGTTTGTCCAAGTGAATGACCTTGACCCACTTTCAAGGTCACAGGGGTCAAATGTCTTAAAATCTTCAAACGACTTCTTCTCAATAACCAAAAGGCCCAGGGTACTGATATTGGGCCTGTTGCATACTGGGATGAAGGGCTACAAAGTTTGTTCAAATGAAAGACCTTGACCCACTTTCAAGGTCACAGGGATCAAATGTGTTAAATCTTCAAACAATTTCTTCTCAATAACCAAAATGCCCAGGGTACTGATATTGGGCCTGTTGCATACTGGGATGAAGGGCTACCAAGTTTGTTCAAATGAATGACCTTGACCCACTTTTAAGGTCACAGGGGTCAAATGTCTTAAAATCTTCAAACAACTTCTCAATAACCAAAATGCCCAGGGTATTGATATTTGGCCTGTAGCATGCTGGGATAAAGGGCTACCAAGTTTGTTCAAATGAATCATTACCTGGACCCATTTTCAAGGTCATAGGGGTCAAATGTCATACAATCTTCCAATGACTTCTTCTCAACAACCAAATGGCCCAGGGTACTAATATTGGGCCTGTAGCAAGCTGGGTTGAAGGGATACCAAGTTCGTTCAAATGAATTACCTTGACCTACTTTCAAGGTCACAGTGGTCAAATGTCTTAAAATCTTGACCCACTTAAACTTTCAAGATCACAGGGGTCAAATATGTTTAAAACATTTAAAATAACTTCTCAATAACCAAATGGCTTTGGATGATGATATTTGGCCAGTAAAATGCTAGGATGAAGGGCTGCCAAGTTTGTTCAAACAAATGACCTTCATCTATTTTCAAGGTTACAGGGGTCAAATATGCTTGACACCTTTAAACGACCTCTTCTCAATAACCAAACAGCTTTGGATGATGATATTTGGCCAGTAACATGCTGGGATGAAGGGCTACCAAGTTTGTTCAAATGAATGACCTTCACCTATTTTCAAGGTCACAGGGGTCAAATATGTTTGAAACCTTTAAACAACTTCTCTTGAATACCCAAGAGGCCTAGGATTATGATATTTGACCAGTATCATGCTGAGCTGAAGGGCTACCAAGTTTGTTCAGACGAATGACCTTCACCCATTTTTAAAGTGACAGGGGTCAAATATGTTTAAAACCCTTACATTACTTCCTCTGAATAACCAAGAGGCCTAGGGTTATGATATTTTGCCAGTTGGATGCTGGGATGAAGGGCTAACAAGTTTGTTCAAATGAATGATCTTCGCTCATATTCAAGGTCACAGAGATCAAATATGTTTAAATCTTTAAATGACTTGTTCTGAATATTCAAAAGGTCCAAGGTAATGATATTTGGCCAGAAGCATGCTGGGACGGAAGGCTATAAACTCTGTTCAACTTAATGTCCTTGTTCGACTTTCAAGGTCACAGGCATCATATGTTTAAATCATATAATAGATTCTTATGAATCGAACACAGATATTTTGCCTGTATCTGTATATTAGTCCACTTTTAAGATAACAAGTGTGAGATTAATACCAGGTGAGTGATTCAGGCCCATTGGGCCTCTTGTTTCTTAAAGGAAACATAACTCTGGCTTGATTTGTCCAGATAGGACAACTCACATACACCTTTATTCTAAAAACATTCCCTCTAAAAAATAGGGACAGCTCGGGTCATTGCCTGAAAGAGAAAGTAGATAACGAAAAAAAAGTAGATGGGAAATGAAAAAGATCAAAGTGTTGCAATGGGGGCAGCATATCGATTTTGGTCGCCTCTTCGTAGAAGACACAGAAGAAATCCCCCTGGTTCTGCACATCTCATATTGTCATCACGCTTGATAATACTGGTACACTACAACTGTGTGTATTTTACATTTTAAAGCTAACAAAAGTAACCTTAAATCTTGAAACTAAGGTATCGGTGAACCAAAAAATTCCGAAAAATAATTATAATACGTGTATTTGTTCAAACCATGTGTTCAATTAAAAGATATGTCTAATGAAACAATTTCATATATGGAGATACCCAATTCATACGCACTAATAGCTTACCATCTGCTATTAGAAAGTCCAAGACCCTGGCCAATTCAAGAAGGATATAAACCCACCTCTTCACGTCTGCATTTAAGGGTCTTTGCACAGAAGTCATGTACACATCACCCTTTATATATTCATTTACATGCATATTGAGATAATTGTCTTCTTACTTAATGTATAATGGTGATTTGTAAAGCACTTCACAACATATGAATAGTAGTATAAGTAATAATTGATAAGCAAAAAGCTTATCAATTATAACTAATACTGCTATCCATATGTTGTAAAGTGCTTTAGAGTAATTTTACAAATTATATATAATGTATATTATTATTGATAACTAAGGGGGTCACGGTGGCCAAGTGGTTAAGGCGTCTGACATTCTGCTACCACTAGCCCTTCACCACTGGGTCGCGGGTTTGAGACCTACGTGGGGCAGTTGCCATTTACTGGCAGTTGGTCAGTGTTTTTTCTCCGGCTTTCCTCCACCAGTAAAACCTGACATGTCCTTAAATGACCATAGCTGTTAATAGGACGTAAAACAAAAACAAACCAAACAAAATAACAAAATGAACCTCCAAAATTGAGTGCTATACAGTATCAAAGAAGACGAAAACAAGCAAATAAATAAATAAATTTTATTTGACTTATTAAGCTATCATGCTTGTTGTGACAAATGGTGATTCTTGCATTGCTGTTGGCCATGCTAGCGTATATATAGGGACACCATAATGGTCCTGACACTATAAAACATTGCTGTTGGCCATGCTAGCGTATATATAGGGACACCATAATGGTCCTGACACTATAAAACATTGCTGTTGGCCATGCTACCGTATATATAGGGACACCATAATGGTCCTGACACTATAAAACATTGCTGTTGGCCATGCTAGCGTATATATAGGGACACCATAATGGTCCTGACACTATAAAACATTGCTGTTGGCCATGCTACCGTATATATAGGGACACCATAATGGTCCTGACACTATAAAACATTGCTGTTGGCCATGCTACCGTATATATAGGGACACCATAATGGTCCTGACACTATAAAACATTGCTGTTGGCCATGCTACCGTATATATAGGGACACCATAATGATGCTGACACTATAAAACATTGCTGTTGGCCATGCTACCGTATATATAGGGACACCATAATGGTCCTGACACTATAAAACATTGCTGTTGGCCATGCTACCGTATATATAGGGACACCATAATGATGCTGACACTATAAAACATTGCTGTTGGCCATGCTACCGTATATATAGGGACACCATAATGATGCTGACACTATAAAACATTGCTGTTGGCCATGCTACCGTATATATAGGGACACCATAATGATGCTGACACTATAAAACATTGCTGTTGGCCATGCTACCGTATATATAGGGACACCATAATGATGCTGACACTATAAAACATTGCTGTTGGCCATGCTACCGTATATATAGGGACACCATAATGATGCTGACACTATAAAACATTGCTGTTGGCCATGCTACCGTATATATAGGGACACCATAATGATGCTGACACTATAAAACATTGCTGTTGGCCATGCTACCGTATATATAGGGACACCATAATGATGCTGACACTATAAAACATTGCTGTTGGCCAT